CAGCAGAGACTCTGCTGCACCTCTCCAAAATTGTAGGTGACCGCAGACAGGAGGCCTCTGATTGGTCAAATCTACATCCGCACTACACTATGCGTTTTTCCTGTTTGGTACCTTACCGGCTTGTTTTGTTTGTATGACCGCCATTGTGGAAAACGACTTGTGAAGTTGGACCAGCTAGAAGAGTGAGGTGTGCGAGAACGCTGGGACCCTTTTTCCACCTGGATCCCCGCTCTTTTTCGCCCTCATGTCCCTCCGTTTTCACACAAACTTGCCCCCACTTCCTCACCGCCACGGCCGTATCTGGACCCACAGCTAGTTCCTGATTGTCCCTCTTGCTTTGTGGCGTGGAATAACATAGCACAGACCACGCTTCAATTTTGGGCATAAATAAAAAGTACCTGCGTCAAGCTCACTGCGACACACTGATGCGGGAGGATAACCAGGCCTTTGAAACTGAGTTCTAATCTACCAGCTCTTTAACAGATACATACACTATTATTACGCCTCATCGTTCTGGCTGGCCCTGCTAACAAATGCCATCAAACAGACGGTGAATCTTTCACATCGCTGTCAAGGAATTCTCCTTTACTTCATTTGCAGAAGTGTTTTATTTCAGTCTGAGGGTTTTCTGAACATGATTGACTTCATATGTCTTCCTTCTCAACCTCTGGTAGATTGAACTTTGACTAGGCCATTCCAAAATTGTTGTTGTTTTCTGAGGCATCCTGAGGTGCACCTTCTGGTCTGTTGGCTCTCATCCTGCTGCAGACACTGAGGCTACGTTCACACTGCAGGCCTTAATGCTCAATTCCGATTTTTTTGTGAAATCGGATTTTTTTGCGTGTCCGTTCACACTTCCAAGTATATGCGACTTGTATGTGATCTAATGTGTGAACTGAAAGCGTTCAACCGAAGTGTCCTGCATGCGCACTCGAGGACGCGATGACGTCACATGTAGCAAGCGTCCTCAGTGTTTGCGGAAGTAAACATGACTCGTAATACCGCAGCGTATATTGCGTTCTTTAAGTTCTTCTCCAACAGGAGCAGGCACATTACGAACGAAATCTTTTTAAGAAGATCAAAAAGAAAGAGAGCCAGGTTCCGGTAAGACCCTTCGAGTTTGATCTGAATCGAGCTATCTTTCCAAATATGAATTAAGTCAGCAACCTCACTTTCTCTCCATTGATTGCTCTCTGTGTTATCTTCCGCAATGGTTGTTAGTTTTTCCCGCCTCCGCTTAGTAGGACGCAGATTAGTAACGTTTAGTAACATTTGTCAAGTTTCAATGACGTGTAGGTCGGATGAATGCGACCTGGCCGTACAGACACAGGTCGCATTTGAAAAGATCAGATACATATCGGATTCAGGACCACATATCCAAGTGGCCTGGGTCGCATTTGAAAAAATCCGATCTGTGTCGTTCAGACTGTCATAAAAAGATCTTATACAGGTCACATATGGGCAAAAAAATCGGAATTGGGTCACTTCAGGCTGCAGTGTGAACGTAGCCTCAGTGCTTTAATCTGACAGCTAGAGGATTTTCATATGTAGATCAGAACTCATGGAGAGCAATGGGAAGGTGACCATGCCATGAAGCAACTAGAACCGCCATGTTTGACTGCTTTTTCTTTTCTGGGATCATTATCAGTCGTTTATGATTGACCAATCTAGATTGAAATTGTTAGATCTTCAACTCAGGGGCCTGTTTAGCTCTAGATTAGGGCTGAATGCTTTTGGAAAATAATCTAATTGCGATTTTTTTTTTTTAGCTTACTCTTGTGAGTACATGCGATTATTTTTTCCATTTTAATTTGTTATGTCTTATTAAACACATACAAACAAATCTGTTTCATAATAATCAGGTTTATTCAAAGCACAGATTAAAACAAGAAAGGAAACAAACTGTGGCTTTACCTTATTAACATCTTTTTCTGTTTCATGAAACACGATGGAATCCACTCATAAACACTGCCAGCTTTTAACAGGACAGCCTATAAATAAATAAAATAAGATATGAAAATAATACTTTAAGTGGTGATAAAGGTTTGTGGTGTTACCCTGTGAGGTAGTAACTATAGCAAGGCATGTCCTCCACAACACCTTTTTTTGATCCAAAATGATTCCATACAAGTGACCCGACCCGTCAAATCGCGACCTTTGCGGTTAGAAAATCTTGTTTACCCTATCACGATATTAATTAATCTTTCAGCCTCACTCTAGATGTGATTCTAGGTTATTTTCTGATTTCCTGGATGAATGGCTGAAGGTGCCGGTGGAGTGATTTTGATTGGCTCATAGGAAGGTGCTCCATTGTTCCATGTTATGGTTGATGGTTGTCCCTGAGGGTCACTGCAGTCCCAAAGCCTTGAATTAATCCGGTACTCTTACCAGACCAATAGAAGACAATGACTGTGTTTCTAATCTGTACTTCTGTAGCCCAAGGGAGGATGTGTTGGGTTTCTGGGTATCAAAGCCTACTTCATGCTGTCAGATTTGTTCTATTTATGTGATCTATTGATTCTACACTGGGTGGGTGGGTGGGTGAAAAACTCAGAGCACTGTTGGTTTTTGGGTCGTGTAGTTTTTTTGACTCGCATTATGGTGTAGGCTTCGAAGGAAAAAAACTACAAAATGGCGGCGCCAGTACTGGATTTTATTTTATTTAATTTTTTGTTATCGATCCTAGTTTTTTTTAGTTCCTATTGGTTTGCTCCCGCTCCCATCTGCTCCCATTAATGTTTAATCCAGTAACGTCCCAATCACGTGATCGTTACTAATACTGTCTCCCATCCCACGGGAATCCCGTGACCCGTGGGATTCACGAAAAAATGTCAGTCTCTAGTAGTTAGGTCTATTTCTGCTGGATTTGATTAGTTAATTTCTGATTAAGTTTTTCCCCAAAAAGTCAAACATTTGAAAATGTTTTGTTTTTTTTAATCAGATTGTTTTGATATTGACTAGAGTTCAATTTCAGATCAGACAAAATAAGTAACTGTAAGCAAATAAAAGTTTTCAAACAGTTTGCATCAATGGTTATCCGGTAAAAGCCTTATTTAATCTTTGTTTTGAAATGTTTTAATTTTTCATTTTCATCCATACCCTCATTTCATCTTTATTTATTTATATTCTGTTCTTTTTAATCTTTGCTTAACAGTCAGATAAAGACATTAAAGACTGGGAGAGACATAGATGGCTGAGCAACAAGAGTTTAGGATTAACCCAACAGAAAGAGATGATGATCAAAGCAACCAAAACCGTAGATATCTTCCAGAGGATGGAGAGACCCAACAGCGTCCCTGGCAGCCACCGATGCCTCTCTCACTCTCTACACTGTAAACCCGGATAAGTAGAATGTACTTAAAAAAATCAAGGTAACTCGTTGCCTTAAAAAATTTAAGTAATGTGGTATTAGTTGTATGAGTGCAGTAAACTATGTTAAATGTACTTGAGCACCTAATGGATTGGAATAGAATATTTAAGTTGTATTTACTGGTAATCAAGTTGTAGTAACTGACGATATGTAGTTGGAGCAACAGCTTAACACCTGTCAATTAAACTTAGCTTGTTAAGTAGGCATTACTGCATTTTAGTTCAATTCAATTGTGTATTCAAATTGACCAAACTTATATTTTTTAGTTCACAAAACTCAAAACGTGTTAAATTAATAGAGCTGTACAAAATACATTTCACTTCAACTTTTTATTGTTTTCATTGAACATTTTATTTGTATCAACAAAAGAAAATTCAAAGCCCAAAAGATTTTAAATGAGCAGATCTTGGATCTTACATGGCAAGCTGATTTTTAAGTGTTTGAAGTTTAGGCCTCAGATCTGTCTTACCCAAGTTAAGAAGTACCTGCTGAAAAAAATCAAAGGTGTTCTTCATGTACTTTGGGTAGCTGAGATGGAGTGCATAGGTAAGTCCAAAGACCGTGTACATGGCCTGCGGAAGGCTCTCAACTTCCATCACTACATTTCCCTCCAGGATAATTCCCACTGAGGATACATTATGGTGAATGGACTGCTTGTGTGGAGTTATATTTTCTTGTTCATTGCGGAGGACCCCCACAGGAACATTGTTGTGCAAACTTTCTTCATCATTGTCCTGAAAGAAATAACAGTACATGACTTTGTTAACATCTTGCAGTCAACAGCCTTTACTGTTATGCAGCCCTGTATAGAGTTCACCCCCTGCCTAGTTCAGAAATTAGTGCAAAAGGAGTTAAAAAATGATAAGAGGCACATGATACAGTTTTGGATGGTGCCTTTTTATGTATGCATACAAATCACATCAACATAAATGAAAAAGAACCAGTTAAACAATCATTTCCTTCTGTGGAGTAAGGAAAATTACAGTTAATAGAGTAAAGCTTCTTAAAGTAACTGAAAAATAGCTTTTCTAACCAAGCAAGATAACTAACAAGCTAACATTAGCTAAGTAGCCTTTGCTAAGTACTGTAGCAAAACAAGAGATTAAACTTACCGTTTTGTGGCTGAACTCACTTCATTCACCGAGTGCTTTAAATCTCTGTGGAATGACTTCCTTGTTATGAGTTGTTGAAGATCTCAATAACGCTGTCGTCTGTTTTGTCTCAAAATGCTTCGGAGTTCCTCAGTGCCAGCTTTTCTATTTCACTCGCTCAAAACTGGTCTAAACCGGATTTTTCGCGGGCAGGTGGATGACGTGAGAGGCAAACTAATGATATTGAGTTGTCTGAGCTCAAATACATAATTACAATAAGCTAGATCATTGGAAAGTGGTGTTTACTCAGAAAAAATAGTTAATATAAAGAATTTAGTGATACTAACTTAGTTTGTTTAAGTCCAAACCATTGACTGTACTTAAAAATATAATTACACTGAAAAAGGACATAAAAAAGTTCAGCTTAATTGAAATAAACAAGTAATGTCAGTAAATTAGACCTCTCTAAGTACTATGAACTCAGTTTCTTTGAGTACAAACAAAATCTGGGTTTACAGTGTATTTGTATCTGTTCACAGGGGACATCACTCAGAAGGGTTATGAGAAGAAGAGGTCCAAGCTGATCAGGGCATATGCTGGAGGTAATTTAGCAACCTCTGACTCCCTCAACACACTCGCCCCCCCGCCCCACTCAGATAAAATATTCCCCATGCAGCAGCTGGAGTATCGATCTGGCATCATGAGGAATACAGTAGCCTCCACACTGTACTCTATTGATGGAGTCTTCAGCTGCCATTAGTGGATGTAGGTTAGGGCTCCCTGGAGCTCAGCTTGGGCCTGCTCCTCTGAACCAGCCGCTGATCAAGCTGTAGTAACTCACTGACACTACAAAACACACACACCAGCTTCCTCCGTTTCATGTATCAGATTTGAAGATCTTATGGGTTGGTTTATGATTTTCGGTCGTATCAAATCACCTCCATCTTTCTTTTTTCTCCCCCCGCTCCTCTCTGTTGCTTTTTATGTGCATATACGTGTTGGTTCTGTAAAAACCCGTCCGTGTGTCCACAAGCTTTTCTGCCTGCTTCTGTAGGTATGGAGGGGCCCATGTCTCACCGGGCCCCGCTCGGCCCTCCAGTCGCCGCCCGTTTCCACCGACGGAGAACGTCTGGAACGAGAGACGAGCGCTACCGATCAGGTATGGATTTTTTTTCTCCGAACTTCTGGAACGATTCACATTGATGATGAAAGAAATGGAAGGACACATATTATTTTAATCTTAAAGGCATTAGAAGACGATCGTTTATTTCCAGGTGGATCATCAAAATAATTGGTCCTCCTAATTGCCAATCATTCTGGTGATATGTTTACGTAAGGATGTTACGTGCTCGTCCTGCTATATATATCTGTGGTGAGGTACAGTCTCAGACAGTCATTGAAGTTCACCTTTCTCACTGCCGTTCTCAAAACATTGCCGGTCGTAAGAGAAAACAGGGTTTCCGCGGGTCATTAAAAATAATTAAAAGTCTTTATAATATTATTTTTTAAGTTAAGGCCTTAATTGGACTTGAACTTCATTGAATGTGATTATCGTGGCATTTAAAATGTTTTATAAAAAAAAAAAAAAAAACCTTTATAAAAACAATTCAGATACAGTGGAATCTTATAGTGGTCACTGATATAGTAATCAACTGCTTATAGTGATCAAAAGGCTTGGGACAGAATCATTTGTATACAAATGCTGTTTAAATAATTTATTTATTTTAATCAAGAAATCCGCTTATAGTGTTCATTTTTGGCCATTTTATGCATGTAAACATGTGCAAAAATAATTAATAAGCGGATAGAAAGTGATGACAGCACTCAGAACCCGCTTAGGTGCGGGTACCAGTGCTGCGTGCAGCGAGGAGGGGCCGAGGATGAGGATGAAGAAGAGGAGACTGTTTTCTCTTCCAGAGCTGAGATGAAGAATGCAGTTTGCATTTTAAAGACCGGTACCCTGCATGTTGGTTTCAAAAACTTTGACCTTTCGCATCAAGTCAACTCGGTGTTGGACAACACTCTGATCCAGGGAACCATGAATAAATACAGGTGCTGGTCATAAAATTAGAATATCATGAAAAAGTAGATTGATTTCAGTAATTCCATTTAAAAAGTGAAACTTGTATATTATATTCATACATTACATACAAACTCATATATTTCAGATGTTTATTTTGTTTAATTTTGATGATTACAAATGACAACAAATGAAAATCTCAAATTCATCATATCAGAAAATTAGAATATTACTGAAGACCAATAAAAACAAAGGATTTATAGAAATGTTGGCCAACTGAAAAGTATGAACATGAAAAGTATGAGCATGTACAGCACTCAGTATTTAGTTGGGCCTCCTTTGGCCTGTATTACTGCAGCAATGCGGCGTGGCATGGAGTCGATCAGTCTGTGGCACTGCTCAGGTGTTATGATAGCCCAGGTTGCTCTAATAGTGGCTTTTAGCTCTTCTGAATTGTTGGGTCTGGTGTATTGCATCTTCTTCTTCACAATACCCCATAGATTTTCTATGGGGTTAAGGTCAGGAGAGTTTGCTGGCCAATTAAGAACAGGGATACCATGGTCCTTCAACCAGGTACTGGTAGCTTTGGCACTGTGTGCAGGTGCCAAGTCCTGTTGGAAAATGAAATCTGCATCTCCAAAAAGTTGGTCAGCTGCAGGAAGCATGAAGTGCTCTAAAACTTCCTGGTATGTGGCTGCGTTGACCCTGGACCTCAGAAAACACAATGGACCAACACCAGCAGATGACATGGCACCCCAAACCATCACTGACTGTGGAAACTTTACACTGGACTTCAAGCAACGTGGATGAAGTGCCTCTCTTCTTTTCCTCCAGACTCTGGGACCTTGATTTCCAAAGGAAATGCAAAATTTACTTTCATCAGAGAACATGACTTTGGACCACTCACCAGCAGTCCAGTCCTGTTTCTCTTTAGCCCAGGCAAGACGCTTCTGACGCTGTCTGTGGTTCAAGAGTGGCTTGACACAAGGAATGCGACAGCAGAAACCCATGTCTTTCATACGTCTGTGTGTGGTGGTTCTTGAAGCACTCACTCCAGCTGCAGTCCACTCTTTGTGAATCTCCCCCACATTTTTGAATGGGTTTTGTTTCACAATCCTCTCCAGGGTGCGGTTATCTCTCTTGCTTGTACACTTTTTTCGACCACATCTTTTCCTTCCCTTCGCCTCTCTATTAATGTGCTTGGACACTGAGCTCTGTGAACAGCCAGCCTCTTTAGCGATGACCTTTTGTGTCTTGCCCTCCTTGTGCAAGGTGTCGATGGTCGTCTTTTGGACAACTGTCAAGTCAGCAGTCTTCCCCATGATTGTGTAGCCTATAGAACTAGACTGAAAGACCATTTAAAGGCTTTTGCAGGTGGTTTGAGTTAATTAGCTGATTAGAGTGTGGCACCAGGGGCCATCAATTTTGAACCTTTTCACAATATTCTAATTTTCTGATATGATGAATTTGAGATTTTCATTTGTTGTCATTTGTAATCATCAAAATTAAACAAAATAAACATCTGAAATATATGAGTTTGTATGTAATGTGTGAATATAATATACAAGTTTCACTTTTTAAATGGAATTACTGAAATCAATCTACTTTTTCATGATATTCTAATTTTATGACCAGCACCTGTATGTGAATTGATTTCTTAATGCGCCGCAGCAGATCCACAACACAAAACAGAGGTAGGCTAGATTTCATTTTCTGTAGCCTATGCAGTTATCTTCTATGTTGTTGTTCTATGAAACCGTTTGTTTCAAACTTCAGACTTATAAAAAAAAATGCACCAACGGCACCAAGCTACCACAGTTATGTCTGTGCACAGCGCAGTATACTGTAATTGGTAATGTAATAAAATTCAGTAAATGTGGAAGCTATCCGTTTCATTTTATTTTTCTCTTTGAAAAATCACACAAATGGCATTTAGATGATATTCTGCATAAAAATTAAGTAAAATAACAAACAAAAAAATTGGATATAGTAATCAACCGCCTATAGTGTTCAAAAAGGCTCTGGACCAACAGCAGATTCCACTGTATATTTGAAATATTTCCGCAGAACTGCTTCCGGTTGATCGTAAAGCTGGATGTTAAGAAAAGAAGCTGGAGGCGGAGAAAAAGCTTTAGAATGGGAAAATGCTAATTTTGCGTTTTGGCTGGAAACATATCCTGATAAACCAGACTTAATTCAAGATTAAATGTGTAATTTAGTCTGGCCCTGATGACCGAGACATCGGAAGATTGATGATGAGAACAACCCGTTGTTTTTCAAACCATGTCTGTTCCTATTGGCCAATGAGTGCTGCTGACTGTGACATAGTAAGCGCGACAGAAAGTTGGTGGTAAAACAGCCTGTCGGTAAAACGGCGAATACGTCCTTATAAATAATGAATGAGCGTTGAGCCTCTTCCTGCTCACGTTTCAATGAAAACCCCCAAGTCTAATCCTTCCAGAACTAATTTCAAAGCTCAAACGAGAACTGTTTATAGTTGTTGCCATGTTCCTTGTGCTTTCTCAGGCGTGGCACAGCTTTGCCGTCATGCCCTCCAAACCCCACCCGCTTCGCATTCAAAAATTCAAAACTTATCTCTGCGTTGTGATTGGCCCACCAGTTCTAGGACCTGGGGCTTTGATCGAGGCTAGACCACTAGCAGGCAAAAAAATTTTTGGCCACTAACAGGTGGGGCTAGTTTACTAGGTTATGGAAAACCAGGAATTTGGGACATGACTGCAGCCTGCCAATGGTAAAGATGGCGAAGCATTTTGCCGAGTATATATGAGAGTTGTGGTTACTTGTAGATGACATTAAAATAAGCATTAAATAAGAGTTACTGATCCCTGAATAAACTCTGGAAAAAGTGTCTACAAAGTATATGAGGGGGAAAAAAGGGCCACAGATGAAGCAGATAAATCCCAAAATGCTTTCTGCAGAGTTCTCCTCGCAAAGAATTATGGGATTTGCGTCACAGTGGCCTGCTGTCGCTACCCGACAACGGTGACTACTAACGAAGATGGCCCAGGCACCGCACAGTGGACCAATGGGGAAGAGATCATCTTTCCAAACGGTCAGATTTCTGAGTCCACTATATACAGGGATTGAGGGATTTAGGGGTTAGGGCGGATGTTCGGTCACAGCTATGAGAACAGCAACTTTTAAGCAGAGCGTGCGCGAGGAGAAATGGGCTCCTGCATGCTCTCCCACGTGCATTTTTTATTTTAAAGTGGAGTTTGCAGGTCCTTTTAAAAATGTAACTGAGTAAAGTTATTCCTGTGTTTGGTTGAATCTGACTTCTTGTCTCCGTCCCTCAGACGTCCACACTGAGGCGGTCCAGGCAGTGTTGGCGCGGCACGTGGAGAGGAAGATGGCGGTGCCCATGCCTTCCAAACGGCGCTCTCTGGTGGTCCAGACCTCTATGGATGCGTACACGCCTCCAGGTGAAGATGCTCACTCTACACAGCCTCTCTCTCTCTGAGCTACTGCACTGGGATCTAAAATTAGCTGTGATAAAAGCAGCTTATATTAGTGAGTTGCATCTCCTGACTTTCCTCCAGAGAAGAAGCCCTTTGCTCAGACAGGATTACACCTCTTCAGCTCTCAGCTTTCTCAGACCGCTCTGACAGAGGAATGCTCACCATCTTGGAAAATGCAAACAATGCAGATTCTCTGTGGCGTAAAAACCCGCCGAGGGATTTACAGAACACCAGACCATGGAAAGCTGTAACCGCTGCACCCAGCCAACATCTGCAGCTGAAGTAACATTAAATGTTTTTGTTAAAAATTCCCAAAGATGGGCAGTGGAGATGACCTCTACGTCAAACCAGACCTCATTAGATTCTCTGTAACCAGAGTTGATGCAATCGATTTGATCTTGATTGAATTTTAATGGAGAAATAATAATTTGCTCCTTTTATAATTTCCTTCTTAACCTTTGAGAATGTCCTTAAGTAGACCTGACATGTCCCCAAATCCTTGAGTTATTAAAGCGGGCATTTGGTCTCAGCATCTTTTCAACGTGTTGCTCACTGGGCCTTATTGTCTGCTCTTGATTGGTGATATCTCTTTTCCAGGAGCGAGCTCTGCTGCCTGAGGCACGTTGGACCTAAATTGGTTCTGTGTCTAATTCAAAGAAGATGTGCAAGAACTGATCTCCTAATTACTGACATTTTGTGTCTCTAAGCTCATGAACTTTTTTACTTCAGTCACTGAAAGGTCACAGCCCTGCAGTTATGAATGTATCTTGGTTTTCTGACTTCTTGTAAACCTTTGATCCACTAAATTTAGATGATTATGAGATGGTTTGTTGTTCAGAAGCTCAAATGTTAAAAAGGAAAGAGTAATGTTTTCTGACTTGTCTTAAATGCAGGTAATCTGAGCCTTGACCATTTTACTTGAGTACTTTCACTCTCCCAGGTAGCAGGTCCTGGTCTGGGATTATTTAAGGCTAAAGTTATGCACTGAGCAGCAATATGTATTGGATGGATCTTGCTGCGCTCTGACCTATGCTGACCTGTTATATTCAAGTTGTTTTCTATTTTATACAAGATTCATAATTTAGGGTATTTTTTGTAATTGATAATAGAAACACGGCTTTCACCCACTGTGCTTTCATCCCTTTTTGTGAAATAATGGCAGGAAACAAGCTTTTCTGCTTGTTTCGCTTTCTCATTACTGCCTCCTGCTGGACTGGAGATCTGGTGCTTTTTTAAACTACTTCCTGATTATAAAAAAAATTAATTAGTATTTAAATTCAGTGCATATCGGTAGAAAAAGGGTTAGTATTACATTAAATAACCCAACTTTAACTGACACTTTACACTCCAGACTTTTTGGGATCAAGTCGCATAAAAAGTCTTGTGAGAAAAAATA